GAAATTTTTTGAATTTTGGAGACTCAGAACATACGAATACCATTTTTTTGTTTCACTGTTTACCTCAGTGGTAAATTTGAGTACCTACGTATAGTGTACACTGTGCAGTGGTGACACATAATGGTGCACTCATAATCGTTGCAAATAATGATTAAATAAATTCAATAATCACACTGAATCTGTACTGCAAGATAATTATCCAAAATTATTAATGTACAATATAGTGTTACGATTTACAGATTACTATTACGCTTCGATTATGTCGCACTCGGCGAATTTGCTTGGGTAAACATAGAACATCAGAAACTGATGTCTGCTCCTCAATTGTACAGAATTAGGAACAAATATCGGCAGTCACTTATTGGTTAACGAGGTAGGTAACCAACACACGCTAACACATACTAATACATGTTGCAATAGTCACACAGAAAATACCGTATCATAACACTAGAATCGTATATTTTATTTTTTATTCATTACATTTTATTTTATAGAACCTCATCTAATACCAAATAATTTTTTAAACGATAAAAAATAAATTTATGTATCAAAACATTCCGTGTGCCACCGAAAATATAATTGTGATCCACTTTTGGTTTGCTACTCACAGTTCGGGAATATCTGCCGCAGACTAATAAGTAATAACGACGCAATTCTTTCGGTGTTAAATAATTGTGAACTGCAGATAAATTAAACTTTATTATACGCTAGGAAGTTGTTACTCATAATTTTATTTTACTAACAGTTTTACAGCTTTCTCATGCCAAAACGTAATTCGAAGTAATATATAATGAATATCATAAAAGGTAAAATTTAAAACAAAAGCGTGCACTATATATAGACGAATATAAGAATATTATACAAAATATGAAAAATACAATTTGAGTTATTTTAACAAGAATAATTTAAACCTAGCATATTTCTCATCAGTATTCACAATTGATATTCTAATGAATGCGTATAATTAAATAAATAACATTCCTTACTAATAAGTATAATAATTTCGTAATATTTTGTATTTAATTCATTTTAAAATTAAAATATTATGATGATGACACGGCGTCCTGGATAGGCTATTTAGGTACATCGCGGTCGTTGTTAAATATTATCATTCCGTTACCTCATAGTATTATACTCTAATAGTAATACTATTCTTTAAAATATATTATGTGAATAATTATCATTTATAATATTATCCTGAATATGGATAAAAAATAATTACATACTCAAACTATTTAAACCCAATACGGTAACATCTCTTAATTTCTGGTCCAAATACCATACTTATAATAATACATTATCAAACTTTAAGTTACTGTAATTTTTAACATTTATAGCTACTAACAAATCGTAATCACGTGTATGCTAAATTGAGTCTACGCATTGTAATTTGTATAGTCCTTTGACCTGGACGACATCGTCTAGTTCAGGTAGAAAAGTGAAGTTTTTCTAGAGGAGCTAAAGACAATTGTCTACTTTTATAGAAATAAAAATAAATACTATGGGCATATCGTTTTAATTTTCCGATTTATGAGCTCTCGAGAAACGATCTATAAACAGCAGTGTTAATATAATATATAATTTTATTTTACAACAATAATAATATCGTACAACTAAAAGCAACACATTTTGTGGTCGTATCTCATTATGTCTGTGAATTAGTCGGTCGTACTTGAGTCTTGAGTATTACGAAAAACTATTTGGTTTACATGCGAATACAAAATACTGCGAAGTTTTTGCATTCCGAGAGCCCGCAAAGAGAAATCCTACTTTTTACGGGCATCAAACAATCGAAAGAAAATAATATACATCTTCGTGTGGACTGCGTACTTCTTCCTTTAGAAAAAAAAAGAATGAATGGCACTAGGCCCGCTTTGAAACGTTTGCTGAGAACGGATCTCGGAGTTAAAGGAAAACAAAACGATTTAGTGAAACGGAACAGGATTTGATGCAGTGTAAAGTTTCTATAAATAAACGACAACCTCTGCACTCGTAACACTAGGAAGTGCGTGTCGCCCGGCGGTGAGTGGGTTGAATTACGCAGAAAGACTTCGACGATACACCGACCACGTACAATGCAAAATAATAGAGGAAACCTCACAGTGCACAACCAAAAAAAAAAAAGAAGTGGTTTTTGAGTTAACTATATACAGCTAAAATAGAGCCATTTTCTTCCTAAACTTTTATTATGTACGGAGTACAATGTTGAAAGTTGATTTATTGAATTGTGTTACGAACCGAGTATAGGACTTATTACTGTACTCAAAATGTATTTAACACTGCTATTTGTCAAATCTATTAACGAACATCTAATTAAATACAAATATAACTACTTTCGGAGATTTTTTTTCCAGGATCGAAATTTGTCTGGGTAAGGATTTTTTGGTAATACATTTATTGCTACCACGATTAAAATATATTATTTTAAAATTAACTGCAGAAAAAAAACAAGATTCACATAGTATATACATTATACACGGACAAAACTGAATTCAATCATTATTAACTTTTACTTTTTAGCTGATGATCGCTCATCCTGGAATATTATTGATGAGTGGCTGGCACTCGCTTTTTCGATTTCGAAAATTCAAAATAAATTTATCGCCGTCCACGAAAATATTGAAAAGTGTTCATTCTTCGCTCAGGTCTGCAGCCGGTTAACCTTGCCGAAACGTCGTCACGTCGAGCGCTCGTTATGACCCATATATACGAGGAACGAACAACGGTTTGGACTCTTCAGTTTAAAACATTTATTTGTCAGTATATTTATGGGCAGAATTTCAATAATTTAAATGTGAGAAGCGACTGAAAGATGAAAATGATTAAGAACATGAAAAATTGATAGAATTATATTTTGCCCTGTTACCTTTAAAACAGACAATCATGGTGGTTTTGATATGATTTTCGAGAAACATGTAAACCAAAAAAAAAAAACGATTATATTATGCTCACTGTCTCAATCACAGACTGCCTAGAGTTATAGCAGTAATATATTTCTACTTATTTTTTTATCGTGGTTAAGTTTTAGATTATGTGAAAACTTGGTTTCATATAAAAATAAGTGATACCGAATAAACGTGTGTTTGCTTTAATGACATATTTTCGATGGTCGCGATAATATTTAATCTTTTAAGTTAGATTCGTCTGTACTTACCGACATATCCGGGAGTTCCGCAAGCAGTCGCCATCACGCCAGAATCTTCTATCTTGGACAATCCGAAATCACTTATCATGATTTTGCTGTCATCGTCTGTGCTGTAGTACAATAAGTTTTCGGGCTGCCACAAAAAAAAAAAAAAACGGTTTTATTATTATTGTTGATGTTATACAGCTGCAGCAGAAAATATAATTAATAACCGCCGTGTAGGTGAGATATTTTTGGACTGACGTCTGTAAGCTTACTGTTAAAAATGAACAATTTATCACTCGTTAATTCGTTTTATTTATAATTACAGTTTAGCCGAATCGAATGTAAACATATTAATATTTTAAGATAAATTATTAAATAATATAATAGGCACTTTGTACGCAGTTGATTCTTGTGTACTTAGAACTACAGAATTGATATATTTATATTTCATTATTTTTCTCTTATATATCAACTAATAACATGTACCTGTCTGTTTAATAAATATTCTGATAAATGTTTAACGGAATAGGTGTATACTCTGCAAAACTGCAGGTTTTAATTTGTGTTCATAATCAATATTAGCGATTTCGAAAATGCAATTAATCCTTCTAGAGTTTGCTAATTTAAAAAATCTTTGAAATCTCTCTTTTTTTTTTGTACATTAAATAATACATTTTAGTGGTATAGTAAAAGGCAGTCTTAACCAAAAGTCGGTTTTTAATTAAGTTTCTCAAAAGAATACCAACAAACGTAGAATTTTTCTCGGAAATGTGAAAAAAGAAAATAAATTAAGTTTGAATTAAATTAGAGTTAACGGAGTCGATCAGTTTTTAATCTTTGACAAACAAAAAAAAAAAAAAACGTAGGTACCTAATAAGACATTATACGCGGTATTAAAATAACTACTAAAGATCAAATTAATTATATCAGTGTAAATATTTAAAAAAAGGCATTCGGAGAAGATTGATGTCAAAGGGTGTTTGCTCTACATACCTACTATGACATTTAATTATAACATTTCAGAGATCCATAAAACACATTATACGAAATATTGGCGTTTTAAAAAATAAAAAGCGCACAGTCGACTTTCTAATTTTTTTAATTACCATCCACAGATTTGAAGCGTCATTTCAGCTACGAAAAAAAGATGATTGTCGCTCTTTCAAATGGCTCTCATGTCATAAGCATTCGTTAAAATATTGTACTGATATTTAATGGCCATCGGCTGCACTAAAATGTAATACGAGTCAGTGTAAGTCTTCGTAGTAGATGACGTCTTAACAGTTGAATAGTTTTTATTTTTTTTTGACGACATTGTATTCAGTCGATGTAATCAGAGATGTTTCAAAGTTTTTCCGGAACAAGGGAAATAATATTTTGTGAGGGGCCCTAAATCGTCATCGTAATAGGATAAAAAAATATTCACAGAGATTTGCGCAAAATGATAGCAAATTTGACCAATCAACGTCATTGGTGCTATCTGTAACACACAGACGGTCATAGGCCCCAAACCACAAGACAAGTAATAGCATTACGGGCGGTGGTAAAACGGAATGAAATTTAATTATTGCAATTTCTCGAAGAAAAAGATTTCAGAAGTTAAAGACCTCAAATTTATTTAGGGTGCAGAGAACCATCAGTTATTTTCAAAAAATCTCTCGAGCCACATATGTTATAAAAAGACGTAGTCTTTTACGAATATTGAAAATCGTGAAGCAAAAATGAGGAATAACTTAAAAGCATATCAATATATATATATATATATATATTCTACACAATTTTCTGCATTTAATGATTTATTCACATTTATCCCAGCAATGTCTGCCAACAAGTTATTGAACCGAAACCTATTTTATTCGTCGAAAATTATCTCATTTTGCTCCACGTATATTAAAAAATATACATGCAATGGTTGAAATTTGATCGCGGGCCTCAAATAATGACAAGATGGCGGCAGGTCGTCAAGATTCTTGCCACCTAATTAGTATTTCTACGACCACCTGTGAAATAATTTTGCCTTCGGAATACGTCGCCTTTCAAGTCTAACCACACAAGAAAATCGACAAAGTTTTGATAGGTTCTACCCTGCCAGATCGGCCACCTTCGGTTTTTGTTTGACTTTAGCCGACCTTTCGCATCAGCTAGTAAGTCCGATTGTCCTTTGCACGGATATCTGTATAATATTCGTATGTCGCCGTTTGTAATGTTCGCCTTTGCGTTTAACTTAACCCACGTCGTGTCGCTTGTGACCACGGTTACTGTGGCCGGAGCGATACTTCTTACTACCAGGATTCGGTGACCAAGCCACAACGCATGTCGACACGTGTCTCACATCGTATTGTGATCGGCTGTTGTAACCGTGGTATCATTCATTGACCACGTTCTACCGGGATGTATCCAGAGTCGGGGCGAGCTCAACTTGTAGGCACAAAACGACCCGACAGACAATGTGACTGTTCGCGTGGCCAAGTCGACTTAGACCCAGTTTCAGTTGTGTTCCAACATCGATTCAACAATGATCGACGTCCCCTGACGTAAAATTCAGCTGTCCAGTAGATTCCATTCGAACGTGGTCGAACCTTCACTGTTATACCAGTTGATGTATCATCCTTCTTATCATATCTGTATAACATTTTAATCGTTCAGTAATTTTGAAAATTATCGTTCTCCTTATTTATTCACTTTGAGCAGAACAAAGACGTCTCCGAGCTCGTGTTGTTTCGGATATTTGTAATGCATTACATTATTATATTTGTCTTTGTACACTGTCATTGTCTTAAATCCGTTTAATTTTAGTCTGTTGTCTTGGCTAACCTCCAATTTTACATTTCCAACTTGAACGACCCACCCTGTCCACGGGGATCCCGACGTTGGCGTCAAACGATTTGAATTTATTTTTAAATGTATTTTAGGTTGTAATTTAAATTTAAATTTTCATTAAAATTGTATTTATTTAAACGATAAAAAATGATGGTTAGACGACCAGTCTTGGACGAATCCTAACACGGATTTATGCAATAAGCCATTATTTTCGTAATTAATATTAGTTCATAACACAGCGCGCTTATACTTGTTTTTGAAAGTGCACCGAATTGCTGTTATTTTATTTCAAAAAAGTTTTCAATTTCGTTTTATTGTTGTACACAAAATAGGAACAGAAAAGTGTATAATGCGATAAAATTAAAATGTTTTATTCAGTAAAATTTAATTAAAGTTGGGTAGTTAAACTATGCGGGTCGTCATTCTGGTTTTTCTTTCCGGGAATAAGAGTACGAGGAACGCCCGCGTAGGCTCGACATTTTAACATTTTAAAGGGCAGTTTTCCAAAAAAAAAACTATTATTTCCCATCACCGCTGTATATTGGCGCTTATCCCAGTACTTATCTGTACAGCTATTATAATTAGGGCAAGGATTTCGATGCATAGTTCATTAATTTTTGGGTGCTCCTGCAGTACAATGAATTCCAAGTAGGTACCTACATAATTCGTTTCCTTTTATTTTAAAGGAAATACCTTAATTTTGCATTTTTCGCTGTTTTTTCAATTATTTTTTTAAAATTATTTTTAGCTAATTTTATTCATTTTAAATGCATATTTCCGATACAATATTGTATGACTCTTATAGTGTAAATTAAGAAATTTAAAATAGTTTTATGATTTCAAAATATTTGCTTCAAATAGTTTTAAACGAATAATTATGTTACGAATCGATTTATGAATATGATAAACCTTTATCCGTCTACTGCGATTTCCAAATTTGGTGTCTTACTGAGTCTTACTCAAACAAATTACAACTAATTGAAAAGTCAGTTATCGTAATCGAGCCGAGTATGTCTACGAGCTGTTTATTTATTGTGAGTGCCCTAAGTTCTGTATTTTGTTTTTTTGTTATTGGTATTGTTTTGTTAAGATAAAGAAGAATTGAAAATGAGGCAAGTTAATCTATCGTTTTCCACTCGCTCGCGTAATCGTCAAATAAATGTAGATCATTTTTTAAGAGCATATTTCGTTAAATAATTATTTTTGGTTATTTTTTAAAATATATTTTTTTTTGTAGTTTTGAGGGCATTTCATTCGAAGCCTTACTTATAAAATCATTTATTATTCCTATACTCGTCTAGGCCGATAATATCGATGCACCGAGTGCCGACTGTACATTATGTGGCCATGACAGCAAGGAGAACGTAACCATTTTTATTTTCTTCCATCATAATATTTTATGTCTAATGATTAATGACCATACTGTGAAAACTATTTTGTGATACAGACAATTTTATATGCATTTATCTGTGGACAGATAAAATAAAAATAATACATTTCACTTTTATTTAAATAAGTTAAAAATAATACCACTTTTACAATATAGATAATAGGGTAAGTAAAATCATTTTTTTTTAGTAGGTTTAAATTTTATATTTCAATAAGTCATAATAGTCAGATGTTTTGAGGTTTTGCAATTCAAATTTCCGATATTATTCGAATGAAGTTTGTGTTTCCTTTTTACTCTTATATCAATACGAAATGAACTATTTTAGAACTTAAAAACTTCAGTATCGAAAATTTCTTTAAATCACTGAATTGAAAAAAATATTCTTCACCGACAGTATAATAGTAATAATCACGAATTTGGTGTAAGTTTCAATATTTATATGAACTGTGAATTTTGATATTACAAAGAAACAACCAAACTCGAATTGGACGAAATCCCGATTTCACCGTTTTTAATTAATTTTTAGGTATTTTTACTCGACGTGGTTACCTAAAAAGCTTAAAATGTTCTTTTGTATTAAATTTAACCTGCATTTTGTACTGTATTCACTGATTGCCTAGTATTTTTTTTAAATGTAAAATTATATATTATTGAACTTGTCTTATAACTTTGTAAAATACTATGATATCTACTGTCTGTTTTTTATTCATTAATAAATAAATAAATAAATAAATAAAAAAGTCATAAAATTACGTCTTATAAGTACGAACTATACAAACGATTTGAAATTAAAAAATGGAAATAATATATGAAAGGACAGTTTTACTAGAGAAAAACATTTAAATACAAACAATTAATATTATTTATATAGTAAATTGATATTTTACGGAGAGAGCCATATCTATCCATGAGAAAATGTGTTGTTTAAGATAACTAATAAATAACTGACACAATAGTTATTTTGATAAGTTTCTATACTACATATATGCGTGCATCGGGCTAGACGTATGACGTGGAGAAATAAGCGAACGTGCCACACCCATAAAAACTCGGCCTGAACAAAAAAATGTAAATATAATTTTAATTGATTTCATTTATAGTACTAAATATTCAACCTGTAATCTTGTAAAACTAATGTGATTGATTGAATAAGCAACTGCGCATTTGAAACAAAAAAAAAAAATGTTTATTTTTTACACTATTCTGCAGTCAATTCAATTGCATTGTCACTATATTTTTATAATTTTGCCAATTATTATTTTGGGTTTTCAAATTTGCTCGTCGTCTATTACACAGATACACACTATTATTTTATACCTACTCGGTTTTCTGGTTCGATTATGAGTTATTGAGCTATACCTTAAGCCGGCATTTAAACTAAAACTATTGTTTCACGACGACTCACCTTAAGATCTCTGTGCACGACACCTTGTTCGTGCATGTAATCCACGGCACCTAGCACCTGGCGGATCAAATGGGCTGCATCCTTTTCGGTGTACGAACCCTTCTGCACGATGCGGTCGAACAACTCTCCTCCAGTCACCCTGCAAAAGCACAATAATATTTAGCCACTTCTCAATACCTGATGTGTTTCTAGCAGGGCTTGCATTTGAAAAAAAATATTTTGTTTTACGTTATTTACAATCAAAACGTTATACAAATTTTGAGTTTATTTTGAGTTAAAATTTAAAAGCATTTAGATAACTGTTTTTAAGGTACACAGGCCGCAATTTAAAAGTATATGACTATGACCTTTTTTTGGGGACATAATTTCCCTATTATGAGTCTTATGTAGGTATTGTATAATTTTATTTATTTTATTAAATGGGTTAAACTAATATAAAGAAAACGTATGCACATTAAAACTATAAGTATATTAGTATAAAATATAAATATTAAATATTTGACAACAATTAGAAAGACATTGACGAGTGACGACTGAACAGATCTGAGCAAACTGAACACCGAACACAATAGTTGAATAACTTGAATGGTATACATTTCGATTGTAGTACAGATAGTACAGTATAATATTATCAGAGTATCACTATTATTAGCTATTGGTAATTAAACTATTCTATTAATTCAATAATACCTTCTTATTAAGTTTTAAAATAATATCTAATACCGGATCTTCGGATAGGCCGGACACGGGATAAAATTAATTCTTGGATTGAATAAATAATTGAATACTACAAAGTATTATTAAATAATTGGAAATTAATTATTTCGTTTAATGGAATACAATATATACCGTTTTGCGTTATGTTTTGTTTAATGATATATCATATATTTTGTTGAAAGTTACGTTTTGTTTTGTGTTATTTATTCATTTATGTTTATCGTTTTCTGTTATAATTACGTTTACAAATTTCAATCGTTTTTTATCAAATATAACGTTATTATAACGTTTGCGAGCTCTGGTTTCTAGACCATATGTGTTAGGATTCGGTGAGAACATTATTATTTAAAGAAATATAAAGATAATAATTAAAAATAAAAATTATCTAGATAAAAAAGTTAATTTTTTTAAATTTATTTAAATCTAACTTTTTAAAAGTACGCCTTGCTACTATTTGAATATGGGCTGAACACAAATCATATGTTTAAATGAAAGTTTGTAATAGACATCATTATTAGTGATACGTATAAATAAATAATACATTTTTAAAATTAAATGTTTAATACTTTTAATGATATAATATTTAATAAATCAACACTTTGTTTGATGTTAAATATTTGTATTATAATTTATGAATGATTTATAATATATAAATATTATTATTTATACTATTGACTTTATCTAAATAGGTTAATTTTTAGCTCAGATATTAAGTTAGATAACTTGTAACTATTTATCTAGATAAGTCTAAATACTGAATTGACTACTAGATTTATGTATGCTCTGAAATCGGGCTTGATGTGCGTAGAAGGAAAGCCTGTGAACTTATTTTGGGTTCGAAAAAAAACTGATTCGTTTACCTCAGTAAATTTTACCTCCACAAAGTCTGCAGGATTTGGATGATCTATTTCGAAAGCGTACCTACTTCAAAATCCTGTATTTCAAAATATATACTATTGAAAAACGAACCGACTTATTTCTCGCTGCTCCTGAATCCAGAGTCTGCGCACGAGACCTATTGACTTTAACCAGTGACAATGTGATGTGTATTTATATTATAATTAAATATGTTAGAGTGAGAGTTAGGCGTTTCAGCAAGATGGCTCGTTAGTAGCCAGAAATTTCAAACTCGTAAATATTTGAGCTTGGAACAAATTTACGCGAATTCGAAAGTAGGAGCCAGTATTCACATTCAGATCCTGATAATACTAAATCTGAAAAATTGTGATTCAAGATGAAAAAAACCCCTCAATGCGTAACTCGTTAATATTTAAGACTAGACATTTTGGAAATGAGTAGCTACAAAAACTATGGACGTTATAGCGCCCCAGAGACTGACAGTTAATAACACAGTTAATTAAGTATATTGCGTGGCGGTCGAGTACTGTTTTAAATGTCTCGATGTTTGACAAACGAGATGAATATTATTATTTTAATCGACGTGGAAAGTACCCGACCGGCGGTTGAAGTTTAAGTGTGGTTGACGAAGCTTGGATAGGTGTGACATTATAATAACAATTTATATTATATTATCGTGAAATGGCGTGCACTTTTATGGCAGAATGAAGTTTGCGGTTGCCCACGGCTGGTGGATGGATTCATGATGGAGTTGAGAAAAACAATCATCTTCATCAAAACTCATTGTAGTGACTTCATGCTCTAGTAAATTATGATATTCGTCGAACACTCGAACTAAAAATTCTGTTATCTGTTCAATGGGCTCGTGTGCCTGTATTAATGTCTCATAATAAAACCTCTTAAAATATCGATCACGATAATATATTTTTAATTGGTTACTGGAGTTTTGATTTCCACGTTTTGCTTGGTTACTTTATTACAATATGAATGTCTTTGATTGGTATGCATTTAGAACCTAGAAATATGTATGCAATTCATAGTTTTTTCAATTCACATTGTACAATTTTCTGGTCTTAAATCAGACCAATCGATAGGCATTAAAATGCTAAAAAATGCTTGCCGCTGTCATCACTTATCACGATTATAGGTTATGTAGGTACATCATTCCAACTTAATAGAAAATTGAAAATTGAAAACAGTAATATGTTATAGAAAACAAATAATAATAAAATGATGATTTTTGCATGACGCATGTTGTTTTTGTATTTATTACACTATCCAGAAAACAAACCAAAAGTCCTGATTGTCAAATCGTGTTGTAATAAAATTAATTTTTTAGAAAAGCCTCCGATATTTAGCTTTTTTTTTTGCTACGAGTAGTTTGAGTACATAAAACAAATGATTTTAGAATATTTTTACAACTTTATAGGTCGGTTTGGTATTTATCTCTTGCTTATAATATAAGTGAGAATAAAAAAAAATAACAAATAATTCAAAACGATGTTACAGTGTGGCAATTATATGTTGAGATTTCACCTCTATATTAATATATTTAAGTAAATTGAGGTACGGAAACAGAAACTACAATATATATTAGGTAATGTTTTGCAAAGATAGCATAAAATGAAAATAAATTCGTATTATCACCACAACTTTATATTATATCAAACATTTTATTGTTATTTTATGAAATACGTAATCTTTGTAAAGTAGTTGAATTTAAGGGTCAGTTTGGAGTTTTTTTTGGAAGACATAAGTCGGTAGGTTCTCTTTAGTAGTGCGTGCAATATTATTATTGTTATTTTTATTTTTAAATTAATAGTCAAAGATTCTAGCACGATTGTAGATAACACAATCGTAGATTACTGTTTTGAAGTTTCATTTTGGAGTTCTCGGTTTTTTTTTAAATGTCAAACGATCTCAGTATTTGAGAAAAGAGTACGCATGTATGTTTTTCGATAAGATGGTCATAAATTAGAAAAGTAATGAGTGTGGTATGTATGTATCACCATAACTATAGAAAAACATCTTTGAAAAAAAGATTTTTCTGGCGCTGGCGGTGGTCTAAAAGTACCAACACATTCATTTTTTTATCGGTCGGTGGTATGCCACGCCACAGTAAAAAACGAAATAAGAATAAATTAAACTTATAAGAGAGGAATGCGTACAAACGAGCCAGCTATAGGTTCGAGGCGGACGGCGATAAAATATAATAACGAAGTAGACGAAGACATTTGAAAAATTTAATTGTCCTACAAATGATGCTCTCTCTCGGGACTAGTCACGTACATAAAAACGACTGACACAAAAAGGGATTTTAATGAAATTTTTTATCTTAATTTGCAAAATGAATATCGAAAATGTAATAAAGTACGGCGGGCGGCTAACGATGTTTTATGCCGAATGCGTTTTAGCACGCAATAATCACGATAGTATGAATGATAATAATAATAATACTAATACGTTCAAGCCAGAAAACTATAAAGTAGGTAGTATAGAAGCAATTTAATAATAACAACAACAGTAATGACTACCTAATATTGTAAATAGTAATCCACTGAATATTGGACACGTCTTGTCACCAGATGTAAAAACGCTGAAGTCTGAAAATAAATAATTTTCATAGATGCCTATCGTGCAATACACCGTTTTTTGTTTTTTTGTAAATTCCAATTAAATTGTATTATTTTAAAATTGAAATTTTAGTTATATTAATTCTATATCAACACCATCCTTTATATAGACCAATTAACAAGCTTGTCGCATAAGTATCGTATACTGCAAACATAGTATAATATTTTTATTTTATTTTTTAAACTACATTATTATACATTTTAGTAGGTAATTTTGTTATAATAATATATCAAAACAATTATTAAGTAAACACCTATCGGTTAGCACTGTGAAATTAATTTTAATATATTTTTTTCATGAATGTTGGTAAAAATGTTTATGAATGTTTGTATCTTTTTAACCATTTTTTTTTTACTGTAGCTACTTTATGTTTGTTATTTTGAGAATCAAAAATTTGAAATTTTCTAAAACATAAATTGGAACCGGAATTTACTGTTAAATTCATAACTTTAAGTACTTCTGCTTAGGTATGAGTAAGATAGTTATGTAAGTAGGAAATGTCCATTAAAAAAATCAAATTAAATTTTTTATTTAAGCATTAATTTCGTTGCAATAAAAAAGCAATACTGCAAATGCTATACTACCACGCAACTATTAAATATTATCATTAGCCTTGTATTCGTAATTTATGATTAAAAACAAAATGTTTAAATTCACATAATGTGTACAGCACATTTTAATGTTATGAAATATACTTCAAAATTCAATGAATATTTCTAATTTGTGGAAGTAAAACAAAAGTAAGGTCCATTAAAAAATAAAATTTCAAAAATTTCTCGAATATTAAATTTCTGAAATTTTACATCACTACAGTTGGATTATCAACACTGTACACGTATTTACGTATAAAGTATCGCATAAAATTATAGTGGAGTTAAAAAGACAACTCGAATGGCGGTCGGGGGACGAAGGACGCAACTATTTGATTTCAGAGAATCACACGCACTTAGAACTAAACGCGCATTAATTAAAAACAAAGTATTTCGTTCTACACGAATTTAATTTAATATTCAACGTTTGGAGAGTAGGATATGCTTAATGTAAAATTACTTGCAAATATAATATACTCACAGTTCCATGATGAGATACACCTTGGACTTGTCTTCGAACGTTTCCAACAATTGCACGATGTTCGGATGAGTGAGCCTGGAAAAAAAAACCAAACACACGCAGGTTAGATCAATCTTAGACGGCGGTAGATGTAATGTATTTACATTATTAACAATTATTGTCGACGACCATTTTCCATCGACAGCAGTCGTCTTATTATTTTATAAGTTCGAAGGCAACTTGATATTATGATATTATACCAAAAGTTTATAAAGCGTTTTAGCCGCATGACAGCCCTGTAAGTGGCATGCTCAGGAGTTTCAAGTCGTATTTTATTTTGTGGGGGGGGGGGAAGGGAAGGGGTCACAGCTTATCAAGTCGGAAAGTCGACGGGGCTTTGATATTAGAAATAATATTACAAAATATAACGATGTACAACATGGTGTAATATATTTAAATAAATATAAATCACTCCGTAAAATCGCAATTCGTGCTAATAACGATTTTATCGACACAAAAATCTATCAACTTGTGTTTCGTAATATTCGTAACACACTCGAACTTTGTGGAGAATAAAACGAATGCAGGGTCAGCCGGTGGTCGACCCGTCGAGTGTTCGATAAACGGAAAAACACTGTCGAAAATGTTTAGACATTTTGAATGATAAAATAAGAATAAATAATAATGTTACAATTAATTCTGATTGGAAACCACAGAATATGTGACTCTGACTATAATATGTTTCAGGTTAAGGATAGTTAATAAAAATAAATCATCAGTTTTCCAAAAAATTATCGCATTTAGTCGTTAAAAATGATATAACAAAAATCACTACAACCATTCCCAAACAAAACATTTTTTTTTTTTTGCATGACGATACTAAGCTGTTTGATTTAAGTAAAGCCAAAACATGCGATTGCAATGTATGATTAGATCGTTCATGAGTTAAGAATTAATGTGATTCTTGAAATTTGAGAGTAGTTTTGATTTTTTTCTTCAAATGTACCCTAGTAATAAAATTTATTTTTGAAAGGAATAGTTGAAAATACTCTGAAAATATTAATTGTTATGGTTCCTGCGGATATACCGCGATCAGCAATATTAACTGTACCTACACAGTTTGGTTCACTTATAGTTCAGTGCCACCCACATAAATTTTGGGCTCCTGTACTAAATGTTTGTCGGGGCCCTCCATAACATTCTAAAAATACAATTTACCATCTATATGTAGAACAAGTTTTGGAATAATATTAATTTTTTTAATTACACCAATTCGAATTCAGTATTCAAAGTTAAGACAGGACAACATCTGTCGGGTCGGCTAGTATATTATAAAAAATCGAGTTTACAAGCATTTTAACATTAATAATGTCTTTTAATTATTTTTTTCACAATATTATCTAAATTTAAAAAGGAAAAAAACAATAGTATATTTTAATTTATATTCAATCAATTTTTTTCTAAGTAATAATTATTATATATTTATATTTCATAAAATGTTATTTTACAATATAATTTAATATAAAATAAGTATTTCTACTAAAATTTCAAAAATCGCGAATACATTTCAGCGGGCCCATCACGGTCCCTCAAAATAGGTTAGGTTAGGTCCTGTGCTCAAGGTCACTCAGCATCCCCCGCCTCTTGTAATAATATCGACGGCGAACGATCATAGTTATCAATGTAAATAATCAGATGAGATAGGCGCTTGAGGCGGTTTTCGTGATAATTTCTACAAAAATCCGAAGTAAACTATTTGAGCTCACGCGCCACCCACTCGCCGTGGATCCGGAACTGTGTTTGTGACAATAATAAGCCCATAACAATAATACCTGCAGTAAAATGCTATGGGTTTGACGTGGGCGATGAACCGTCCTCGAAGAACACATTATAGTAATCCGACCGGTTCGTCCAAAACCAAACGATATTTTCGATGTTTTTCGATGACGATAGGACGTAAATCTCGACTCGAAAGTAACGATACACACCGCGGGGAACATCGGAAACGACCTGTAAGTCGATCATCGATTTCCCGTTGCCGCCGAAATATCGTTTACCGAAAATAAAAAACACGCTCCTCGAGGTCGCGGGGGGGGGGGGTCGCGAGTGGGTCGCGGGCGGGTCGATGGGGCAAATAATGTCGCGGAGCGTTTTAAACGAGGAGTTTAACCTCGCAAATGGCGTTGGTATTTAAATCCTCGTGTCACATCGAAACGGTGGTAATATAATATTATGTGCGTATACCGCGTTACACGAGACTCGTACGTACCGGTGGTAATTTATTATACCACCGCCGCCACCGCGTTGGGCCGCCTTACCACGGGGCTCAGATTTTCCGGGCGACGTTAAGGTGACGCCGTAAATCCTCCCCGCAAACGGTGTACAGTTCGAGGGACGTATATTATACCTACCCACCCACCTACCTACCTACCTACCTACCCACCCACGTCTTGTAGTGCGGTTGGGAGAAAATATGATTTTAATATCGTAGTTTTCGTACATAATAATATGTACGCACACCCGCCGTAAACGAGACTACGGAAATCTAGCGAAAACAGAGTGGGTGCCGAATCGTGTGATTCGTGGTTTGCAGGCATCGCTGATAAGTCTGAGGCCCGGATTTGTATGCAAAAATTATTGTTAAATATGCACATGTTTATGTAGTCGAAAATTCAAAAATACACAGATATTTTCTTTGTTGGTGGTCGAAAAACATAAACATCTCAAAAAAAAAAAAAATACAATTTAAATATCATTATAATTTATAACTGTAACCTCCACTAATGCCATTGGACTTAATTATTTTACCCTACACGACGTCAAATTCATGACCAGAATAATATCAAACAGCGTATGGCAACGGGCGTGGAAACAAGGTACTTCAAAATTAAACGAAATTAAAAATACCATCCACACATGGCCCTCTCCACCAGACTTCTCGAGGAAAATGGAAACCTCAATCAATAGAATTCGTATAGGACATAACCCACCATATCTGATGAAGAAGGAAGACCCACCCCTCTGCTGCGGTGTACTCCTCTCTCAATCAAACATATCTTAACTGAATGCCTTTCATACGAAACGGATAGACGAGAAGCAGGCATTTCAAACATTCTGTCAGAAGCCCTCCGCCCGGACAACATAAATCACACGATAACTTTTATTACGAAGTCCAACCTTGTCAATAATATTTAATAATATGTGACCTATATATCATGTAAATAATTTAGAGTTAAACTCTTTGTTGCCAATGGCCATAGTTGCCGAGGCTTAAATCAAATAAAAAAAAAAAATGTACAAGTACAACTGTTAAATTAAATAAATGCTAAATTAATACCGGCAAATGAAATATTAATTCGGGAACGAGTACACGGAGTTACAAAATGTGATTTTATAATTGCGAATTGGAAATTTCTGCGATGTCACATGGAGTACATTTATATTTTGAAAATAAATTTTGCAAATTAGAGCAAACAAAAAAAATTCAACAACTACTAATGCAAGTTTTATGCAATTATTCAGAAATGTGCAATTTATAGTCATTTTCACTCAAATATGCAAAAATATGCAACTAAAAAAAATGTAAAAGTTTCGAATCAAAATTACCATAAATTATCAAACCATTCTAGGTTAATTGTAGAAGAATATGCATTTTTATAAAAATCCGATCCTTAGTGATGACGAAACACAGTATGAACCCTGAACAGCTACTAGTGTGAGCAAAAAATATATCATTAAATAATGTCGTGGTACGAATTAGAAAGTCTGGGATTTTTCAATAACTTTTGGCCAAGCAGAAGTTGGATACATGCACTGTGGATTACTTGGACGCGGGTAGAGGAAATAGAGTTTCCAGTTTTCCACACTTGACGCATCATGAGGTATCGGATTGTGAACGTCGAGTGTCCCATTCTGAGTAGGTCTATTATTTTTTCTCGTCTCCCGGAGCAGTCTTTTCAGGGAGGTCGTAAGACTATGCTATTGACCTTTTGATTTTGTGTTTAGTTGGCGCAGATACTTTTTCTCGAGTGCGAGGTTTTTCATTACTTTTTTAACGTCTAAATAAGAGAAACTATATTATATACATATGCTGGGAACGGGTGAGTTTATCATCGAGCTCGGTTTATTGCGAGTCGACTGAACATTTGTATTTTAACGACGGATACGATTATTCTCGATCGTCTTTCCCTCATATATATTATACTCGGCTTCCGAAATCGACGAGATCATCATCGATAGATGTTTCAATCCTATTCAAATTTGCTACATGATCGTGATACGCGAATGTCGCGGAGGTGGAATTTGTTGTTAAGAGTTGCATTGTATAATTTCGTTATTTTTTGCGTTTCCGTTTTAATACGGAAATCCACTCTCTGCGTGGGGTGACAGTCAAAAACGCAGTTGGACACACCTACTTCATACTATAACTCTGTTTGTGTATCGCTGAGCATTTGACGTAATTAATTGTGTAAGACGTGTAAAATACGAATAGGCATCGTGGCGACGGCGTATCGTCAGAGGTGATAACGGCAGTTAAGCTATATTATCATAGAACATGTATTATATCACCGTAATGTTATCATAATTATTATTAAAATATATTCTTCGAACCACGTCTTTGATGTAACACGATGGCGTTAAAATGTTCGGTCGCTTCACTAGCTCTATTGGCTATTATTTTAATTATCGAGACCTTTCAAAGCACGTTTTCGTGTTCTGTAAAACGGCCGCAGGAAAATGTGTTGTACGTAATATTAATATTGTTCGTCAAAAACAGAGTCGGCTCTAATAATACTCTTTGTTGATGATTTCGATTTTCTTAACATTTAACTCACTGACTATATATATAGCATGGTGCGGAATTTTCTGGTTTTCAGACTACGGTTTATTTTTTATTTTAAACGTTTGTTTTTTGATTCAGAGGAGTTCTTCAAAAGCAGGCTCTTGAAAAATAATTAATTTATAAATTTCTTGGTGTGGATAAGACACATTTGTTAGATAGCCTATATCGTTTATGATAATTATAATAGTTAGCACAAAGTTCGTCATAATAATCAGTAATAAATTATGAAAATAGAAAGTGAAAAAAAAAAACA